CCTCAGCCCTTTCCAATGCCAATGATTCCGAGTGTTGCTGGAATGCATGGCTTATTTCAGGATATAGGCTAATAGCGGAACTTCATCCTTCCCTCTCAGGATTTAACCAGAATATCAGAAAACAGTGCTTCGAGTAAATGAATATGTAAATGATGGTTAGGGTAATAAATAAATATGTAAAATAAGGGTATTGAATTTCATTGTTGGCATCAAACCTTGCACTTCAAATGGGGGGGGGCGAAAGCGGGGGTGCGGCTTTGGCGCGGCGCCATTCCGTTGTCCACCGACTGTGAAAGATGGCAAGTGATTTGTAGAAAACTGGCTGGTGCTGCGCCAAACCCACCCCCTCCCTCAAACAAAAAGCCTCAGCGTCCGCAGCGAACAAGACTGTGTGTCCTATCCCATAAATAAGTTTTATATTCGAGACTTTCTTACGTTTCTTGTCTCTTTTCAGACAATAGGGCCAGTTTTATGTTACAGTCAATATCACGGCAACTGGAGAGGGCGTGGCCAGGAATTCAGATGTCAACATAGCAGCAGCTGTCTAGCTCTAAACAGTTGCCGGTATGCAGGCAGAACCCCACGATGTCTGTTTCTGTGTCCAAACAAGCAGCAATGTGCTGTGAATATTACTGTGTCTACAGACACGCCCCTTTCAGACGGCGTGATATGATATACAGCACAGACAATTGCCCACGAACTTCCGCATGTTGTTCTCGTTTTATGACTCACCCCCACCAGCTGGAGCATTTTATGTGCAGTGCAGTTCAGTGCAAATTTCTCATCGTTGCTTTTTTCCCCTGGAATTGACCTGGTTGGTGACGTGTGGGTGGTACCCGATAGCAACTGGGTCATCATCCATCCTCCCCCGCAACTAAGGCTGCGCTGCATCTGGAACCGATTCGTGGGTTTCTTCATTGACGTCATCATCGTCATTAAATGTGCCTATGCCGTGGGATAACCATCATTCAGCTCAAAAATAGTCCTATCGGCATGAATATCGCCGGTTTTTAGTGTTTATGCCTGTGAATGAAAAAAAGATGGCGTTGGTGAATCATACTTGTTGAACTCTCGAGCAAATTCGAGGGCCAATTCGGTCTTTGATTTGAAGGAAGTTCCCGTTGATATCAGTCAACCTGGTGGTGTAAGTAGTTAGGAGAGAAGAGGGGGGGGGCGCTAACAATTAAAGGCAGTTGGCACGATGGTTTCCTACTTAGCCTAAAATGCTAGTAGGGAGCTTCAGCTGGGTCTCGTGAAAATGCGCTAAAGAACGACCGGAGTGAAACGCCGTCCAAAAATCCTACGAAGAAAGCACCTCCTTCTCAGTGTCTTGTAACGTCGATTTACGGACGTAGTTCCCTTAGCACCCAATCACCCTACAGAAAAGATACAGCTGCCATGTCGACCCATATATGTATGCAAGCTTCACGCCGCTTCATACCTAGTACATTCCTTTCATATTTGCTCCTAGCAATATTGAATACGTGCGGCAGGAACGTCTCCATTCTGTGGCGGCGTTTGCGGCTTGTTTGTGCTAAGTTGTGGCTTATAGGCCCTTATAAGGGCCATCTCCCACGGTAAACGCTATGCATCCGCCGCTGCCCAGATGTCCGCGGAATTCCATCCTGCCAAAGCTATTGATCCTAGTCGTTTGGCGATTCTATCTGCAACTGCCTGTTAAACTCTTTATTGCAGACTCTGCAGCTTTGTCGGGGCGGGGGCCACTCCAAGATCAAGTCCGTCATAATTGCCGCTACGTAAAGATGATAACGGTTTTAGCCCAAATCTAGCAACGGTGTACGAAAGACTCTTCGAATTTAAAGAACGATTTCCACGCTAAATCCATCCCACCTGGGCAATGAGGCTCCAAATTCTCAACCTCCCTCCCTCAAATGATCCAACATAGCCTTGTACCATCCTTCTTAGCTTCCTACGCTCTGAAAAATACCACAGGAAGCTCGAACTTCTACAGATGAGGATTTTCGCCCAAACCTAGGTAGGGAACGAGCTACGTGTTGGGTTGGATAAACCAACATTTTTGAGTAAAAGGGAATTCCACGCTATATGAATCCCAGTTTTGCACAAGGAGTCCTCCGAGTGCTCCCCTTCCTCCCCACCCCCTCCCCTCTCAGGTGAACAACGCCCTTATATAGTTCCTTGTAATGGGTGCTGCTTCCAAGCTGCGAATATTACCACGGGAAATCTTTTAAATATTTCCTAGAATCACTGTATTGCGGACGATGTTCTGCCCCACCGGGACAACCCTGGTCCTGATTGATGAATTGTCCTTGTGAAAGATAGCCTGATATCTACGGGCAAGTGACATGCGTTTAATGAAGGTCAATGAACTTCAATCGTGAGAAAATAGACATTTGTTACTCATTAATTCTCTTTTTTCTTGTTTTCATCACCATCACCCCCTCCTGTTTTTGCTTTGGGGAATGATGAGGGCATTCGCTTTGTTGCGAGAAGCACTTTCGACTTTCAGACGGAATCATGTGGGTTAGTTCGAGGACCAGGATAGCAATGGCGACCAATGTTCAGCTCAGGTTTCTCCTTTGCAGTAAGACTGGGAATTAGGTGATCCGGCGATAGGGGCCACTGACCAGGAGCAGGCTCACGGAGTGCTTTTTTCCGGGTACGTTACCTCCACTCACGCGAGTTGATCTCCCATTGTAGAGAGCTGCAGGTTATGATGGGGTGCCTAAAGTAAGGTTCCACCCTGCGCAGGCCAATTCTTTCGCCACTGCAAAACATCCCTGATAAATGAAGCAGTATTAAAAAGAGTGCTTGTAATGTTCACGAAATGCGCTAATTGTAAGTCGGACTTTTCACATGTTTTTCAACGCTGTTCGACTATTCTACTCAAAAAAAAACTCCGTCTAGGCTTTTCGGCACCTCTTCCTATTTTTCTTCGGATCTACAAATATTTTCGGAGCTGGGGCCAATCAGGCGCCACCGCTTTTTCACCAAACTTGCTCCGGAGTCACGTTTAGGTGCAGTCGACGGCTATGATCACGAATGCGACGTTCCTTTACTGGCGCCAATATACAGGGAAGGGGGCAGAAAAAGACCTTTCCTTCCTCGACACTTTCCTTCCTCGACTTTCAAGGCGATATAAGTTACACTTTATTAATTCTGACTGGACATTTCCACCATCAATTCAACAACGCATTGTACACGATCACGAAACTCCGCCACAGCCTTCTGGACGAACGCCATCGAGAGATTCTGCCACCGTGATTCGGTGCCTGAGTTCAGCGAGATCGTTGATTTCTCCGCCACTGTAGACCACCCTGTTGAGCTCCGCCCGAACCGGGTAATTGAGGGGTTTAGGTCAGGTGACCTACTTAGATATTCCATCTTCTTCAGGTACTCAACGTCCTTCCATTCCAAGTGGGCGAGAGTTTTTCCAACGCCCTTCGATTCCATGTGGTGTCCCCAATCCTGTAGCAGTACAAAGTTTCCAAGAAGGTACGGGCGACGACATGTGGGAGGATATTCTTCTCGAGTTGCTCGATGTAACCGCCAGCGCTCACCTTCAGTCCGGAGTCCACGGAGGAAATATACCACGTCCGTCCCATATCATCAACCCGAGCCTTGGCGACTGCGGTGAAGATGATATCCTGGACCATAGCGACGTTGTCGGAGCTGCTCGATGTTGGAGGTCTTCCAGATCAAGAGTGCCGGTCTCCAGGTAGCTGTCCATGGGTGACTCCATACAAGAAGTTTCGCAGCTGTTTGGAGGTGACGTGAATTCCATAGGCCTTCTCCAGTCAGGCTGCGATTGAGATGACTTCATATTTTGGTGTACATGAAGGTGATGGGCGAGAGCCTGCTCCTGCTTATCGAGGAACATCTTGGGTATCTTCCGCCCTGGTACTCGTATCCACGTCCTCTGTCTGGGCAGCGTAAACTTTAGTGATGTGTAACTCGGCCTAAGTGTCTTTTTTTGACCCCTGCCCCTATAGACACCTCCTTTTCCACCGACTCGCTACAAGCTTGCATTTGCTACTAATGGGTAGAGTTCTGATTGAGATTAGAGTATCTATTCCTTCACCGCACTCCGTTTTTCTCTGCACTCTGGCCTTTCGTACTAGAACCCTCACCAAAAGTTCTATTTGTCGCGCAACTGTTTGCCGCGTATCCTCCACGACTGTGATATCCCCATTGGTGTGCCCCTTTTTCTTTACCTCATTGAACGGAGGATCTGACCAACTAGAAGGGCGTAACAGTAGCAGTCGTTGTATCCGCCCATCCTGATAACCGTGGAATGGGCTTTCAATGAGAACGTCGTCACAAATTCATGCAGATGGAAATCAAGAGGCTTCTGAGGTCTGCTCTGGGTGGTTTTGATGAGCGGAGCAATTGAATTGGTCAGAGCAAGCGACCACCTGTGAAAAGCTCAACTGCTGTCGTTTAATGCCTCAAAGAACTTGACAGAATTACTTTACCATTAAACGCATCATTTGTCAAGAAAATGTGATTGTTGTGAAAGTTTGCCTGATCAATAAGGGTCATTTTTAGTATTACATCAAGAAATGTTGAAAAATATGGCAATCAGACCTGTCTCAATGTCTCCTCTTCCAGCGCACCGACTGACCCTTTTGGACGAGTTGTCCGCTTCGTTGAAGCCCTATGGGGCCAGTTTTCCCTGTTGGACGAGTTTTCCGCGGCGAATTTCGCGCGCGGCGGGGATCTTTCGCGCGCGGCAAAACATGATTTGAGATCGCGGGAGCCGGTCGAATTCACTGACACATCTCCCCCCATGGTACTGGCCTTGGCACGAGTATCCGTGCTTTGCGCAGCAAGGGGCGGAGCTTCTGCGCCGGGGGGCGGTAAGGTCGTTTCTGCCCTACGGGAACCGTAATGACCCAGCGGAGGTTTTTTCCGCTTTTGACTGGACACTGTAACGGCCTGAATATTCAGTGTGTGGACGAGTATTTGCTCCCTCAAAAACCGGTCTCGGCGAAGTTTTCACGCCGCGCTCGTGCGCGGCGGGCAATGCGAGTGGGAGAGTGTCATAGAAAGCTGGCTGTTGTTGACGAGTTTTCACGGAAAAATCGGCAGGTGGGTTCACTTTGGATGTAGTTATTGCCGATTCACGACACGGTCGGGCCGGAATTCAGCAAAATGGCTTTTTCAGCCGTTTCGAGGGTTAAAGATGTAGATAACGGCTGTTTCGGCATTTTCGGGATGCTGGCAGTTTCGGGACCGCACAAGATAAAATCTTTACAGTCTATGCCTACATAGTCCCCAGAGTTTCAGCTTCGACGTATCTCTTCTGTTACAAGCATCCAGCCCCTTTAAGACAGTGCACCATAAAATCCCAAGACGGATAGGTATCAAATACTCCTCAGGATAGAATGGTCCCCTCGACCCTGGCAGGGCTGATAGCGCTTTTAGAGGAGGTGCTCTTATTATAAGGGCCTATCAAAGCAACACGATTAGTTGCCAACGCCGCCACGATCGCTTAGCCCCCTTTAATGGCGACCGTTCGCCTACGCTTCGTATTCATTTCATTGTAGAAATTATGATGGCGATAGGGGGCAACAAGTGCGTTGAGCTTGCAACGTTGATGCTGATGCTATATATGGGCACATGGCAGCGGTATTTCGGTAAGATGGCTACATGGGAAACCGTCCAATCGTTTTTAATGTCATTGAGAACGGAGTTTTTTGGCAGGCTTTGACCGTTGTCAAGCGTTCGTTTCGCCCTTTTCCCATTACAGCCCTACTAGCATTTAGGCTAGGTAGGAAACCATCGTGCCAACTGCCTTTAAAGGTCCGCGATGACTATGAAAATGCAAGAGGTTATATGGGAAGGTAGTGCGGTCCGGAGTGGACAACCCTGTGCCAGTTCGCGCGGAAAGTTGTACGGTAAAGGGATTAGGCGCAAAGTTTTTCAGTGGTTACTCCCTTTTTTCCAGTGACTCCGCCTGAGACTCGCCTCCAAGTCGACTTCCGACAAAAGTAAGGCTCCAGAGGACTATGATGGAGAGGGCATTTCCGTGTTTTGTATAGGTCTAACGTTCATTACTGGGAATTAGCGAACAAGGGAATCGTCCACGAGCGGTCTTTTCGGTCGGTTTACTCCAGTTGTTTGAGCTAGAGGATGCCTGGACGAATGCGATTTCGCCAGCGTTTCTTTTGGCATTTTCATTCTCATAGATGAATTCACTTGGCGTATTTTTCACATTTCTGCAAAATCACCTAGCGTTTTTTTTAATCAGGGACCGTAGCTTTAAGGAGGCAAGTTTAAAACCGGGATTGAAGAATGCGCTAACTAACGGTAGAACGATCATTCTATACAATTTTTTCTGCAAAATTAAATTTTTACATTATTTATCTACTTTACATTTTCATTTTTCTGCATGACGCATCCGATGTCGTTCGTTCTCTCGTCATCGAAAACAAGAATTTCTATTGCAATTGGAAGCGTTAATTTCTCTTTAAATATAGATGCAGAAGCATATTCCTGCAAAGAAATGTAGATGATTCATGTTCTGTGTGTGAGGTTAGGTATGGGGAGAAGGGAGGGCAGTCCGATAGATGGACCAATCTACGTGTTTTTCTGCTTGCCTACTCGCTCTCAAAGAAAGAAGGATGTTTTGAATCCGATGGAGACGCAGATGAACAGAGAAAGGGTGTGGTATATTCCAGGGCACATCGTTGTTGGGGATCCCCAACAGGGGGATCGTATTTCGTCGTCGAGAGGGGAGGGTCGTATATGGGCTCAGAGGAATTTATTTCAATGGTTGATTTTCTTATTTCAAGGATGTTGTAAGGGGAATGGGGGCGTGCTTCCCTCCTGACTATTTTCCCCGTTTTATTCGAACTATAATCCCCCCACCCCCACAACCCGCTCGACAGCCCGATGGGGAGGGAACTACGGGGGTCGCACCAAACCCCCTAAAAGGGTGGGGGAGTGGGTCGTACGGACTCGACAAAAATCCTCAACCAATGATGTGCCCTGGTATATCCTGGCTTATTGCCTCCCCCTCTGCAATGGCACTCAAAATTCTGGTCTGAGTCCGGCGCTTCAAATCTGAATCTCACAGAATTGAAATCTGCAGCCTTTCTTCTACTCTTTCTTCTCTCAATCTCTTTCTCTCCGTTCTTTTCATGGAAGCTTATCTTTGTTTTCCTGAGGAACATAAGGAATTACCTTCGCTTCCATTCCAGCGAGCACTTGTACAACGAGTAAGGGAGAAGCTAATGACCAAATACAACATGACAGATGCTGACTATGATGTATTAGAGGTACGTCCTTGTTTTCATTCTACACAATGTTTCTGAATAAGATTTACATTTCTCTATTCTATTTTTTATTTCATTTTGAATAAAACTGGTGATGGTGTAATGGAAAGGTGTGCCGTCTATCACGCGCACGCTTAGTGATCAAACCTTCAGCCACATTTCGCCTACGTTAGCCAAGCCTTTCAGCGTTTTCCTCAACCTGGTGTCGGCTTGTTAGCCAACTCATGATGTGATAAGGAAAAGAAGGAAAATGAAGCTGACAATTTGACAAACTTGAAAAGTAGTCGGACTTCCGGTATGACACATCTCAGGAGGTAATCAGGTGCGGAGAAGGCTCAGGAAAAGAAAAAGCGAGCGGCTGTCAGTGGAAAGAAGGTGGCTCGAAATATGACCCATTATCGTTAATGATCCTCCCCCGACGTGTCAGTGAGTCTTGGATAGTGTGACAGTGGGTCTTGAATAGTTATTCTTCCGGACATAACGGATTGGTCCTACAAAAGAGATACTTGGCAGAGAGAGAGGGAGAGGGAGAGAGAGAGAGAGAGTTTTCTCGCCAGTCAGTGCACCCCAGTACTTCTCGAGAGGCGCTGAGCCAACAATTCAACTACAAGGAAAAGGTTGATCCGACCATTACTCCAGGTCAGATACGGTTTCTCGCCCTCTCCCTCGCCAATTAAATGATTCCTTGAAGGAACCTCAGTATAGCATCGTTGGGAGAATCTCATCGGGGGTCATACTTCGTCTGTGGGAGCAAGGGTCACGTATGGCCTTGGGAGAAATTTTCCCTAGCCTCGAGGGAAATTCTTATGGTCTTCGGCTGTTTCCGCTCCACCGATAGGGGGACCTCTCCCCTGCTCGACAAGAGTTTTTTCCGGAAAACTGGTAAAGATTTAGATAGAGAAAATTGGGAGGGAGTTGGAAGAGTTTGGTGAAACGATTGATAGGTTGTGAGAGGGGTCGTATAAAATCTGAGACAAAAAAAATTTCGGGAATTTCGCTGGAAGAACAAACTTGGGGTCGTACTGGAAAAAAATTTGGGAAACGTACTGGAAGAGGGTATGAAACAGGAGGGGAGCTGTTCAACTCTTCCTCAGCTGTTCAGCTCTTCCTAGTGTATACCGTATAAATTTAGTCTCTTTTTATGATTTTTCATCTGATATATAGGCTGCTGAGCTCACAGCTGTTAGAGTTGGTGGGTATGCTGATGGGCGGCTTTCCTAACCTTCACCTTACCCCTTACTCGATGTCCGATGTTGAGAAAGATTTCGACAGGTCACGTAGTGACGCGCGTCGTCACTCTATACTCGACAAATGACATCTTTTTTCAAGCAGTAACAGATTTCTTATCATGTTTCAGAGGGCAACAGCCTAGCGGTGTGGCTCTCTAGAAATCATTTTAACTTGTTGATCGTTTTCTCACTCCGGGGATTGCTTCAAAGAGCGAGGACGTCGTATGCTGGGATCCGCAGCGAGTAGATAGGGTCGTATTTGGTCAGTGCAGGATGGTTGTTCGCTTTCCCTGTTTCAAGTGCAAATGCGCTACACCTCCTCCCCCGCTCGGCCCCAGCTTTTTGGGAGAAAACTGGAAAATTTTTGGAAAGCCTAAAAAATTGGTGGGAACAAAGTCAGTTGGAATGGGTAGTCCGGCTGGCGTACGGCGAGAGGGTTTGTGTGCCAGGGACGGGATTTCGGGAAGAGGGGGGGGGCGTAATTTTGCAAGGTTTTTCCTAACAATAAGTAGTCCCTCTTCCCCAGAGCTGATGAGATGGCTCAAGAGGGAAGTAGCCTTGTTGATCCACAAATTTAGTCTCGGTGCGCATACTTTTAGCGCCAGTTGCCAGTCGTTTCGCGCTAAACGGGTGTGGCGTTCTTGTTCAGAGAGTAGAACTGTCTTTGGAGAGAAGTATGGGGCCAGTAAGGTTTGCGGTGGGGGGTGGGGGAGGGGGATGGTCACTGAGCTCCTTGCGCAACTAATGCCATTTGAATAAAAGCCCCCTCACTTTTAAATGGTTCGCCAACCCGCGACCTTAGGCAAAAACTTTACCTACATTACGGTGTTTACATGTTTGCGTAAGAAACCCTTCACTGCCCCCTCCAAGATGACTGGCGTGTTCTCAACAATTTTGGTGATTACAAGAGTTTTGGCGCGAACGCTTGCTACCGAACGTTTGTGGTAGGCCCTTAGTTGTCCCGAGATATCTTTAGCCAAGTTGCCTCGGAGATAAGCTTCGATAAAGGTCGGGCCTAAATTTCAGAAAATTAGACACCTGTTCTTCGGTCGTCTGCGTCTCTTGATTCGTCGTCCATACCTTCGGCTTCGGGCTCTGTTTCGTCGAGAGGGCGTGGACAAGCAGAAAGTGGTCGCGACGTGGCCTCGCTGTCACTTGGCCTATTCTAACTGCACTAGCATCCAAACAGTGCCCGAAAATCTATTCCCTGTGCCTTTTCTTAGCGTTCAGTTTAGTGCAGAACTTTTTATCTTTCGGCGACACGTCCAGTGGGCGGGGATCCGTGTCCACAGGATGTGCCTTCCCTTCAAATCAACTATTTGACGCAGTTCGGCGACGGGGGGCATTTTGCACTTTTGCTACTTCCCATCGACGTGTCGACCTATCTAGACAGCCTCTTCTCGAGTTGACAGGTTTTACCATGATGGCTTGACGACCTTGTTCCAGCTTCACAAGAGTTCACAGGTTTACCAGAGTGAGACTTGTAAACCGGAACTGGGGAAGCAATTATAGTACAAAATGCCCCCCCCTCGTCGCCGATCTGCACCCAACTGTTTATTTGTAAAAGAACTTCAAAAAATTACATCATTTCAGGCGACAATCGTCAAAAGTGTTCCACATAAAGCGGGTTTTCAATGGAAATTTAGCGGTGCTTTCTATTTTGCTACTACTGTTATCACCACTATAGGTAAGTGAGATTACCAACAATAAAGAAGAGTATCGATGGCACCTTCAATTTTCTTTTTTTCTTTCTGATCATCCTAATGTAACTCGTGACGACATCCAGTGCAGACGAGAAGAGCTGGGTGGACGAAAATGCACTGGGTTGATTTTTGAGAATTTCGAAACACACTAGCCCTAGTTCTTTCCGTCTGCCACCGTGTCTTCCCGTCTGCGCACCATCGTGTCCGAGTCTCATTAAACGCTTCCCTAATCCTTGTCCAGCCCTGTGTTTTAGTAGTTGGGGTGGCAGTATGGTACAGCATCGTTGTATGAAACACGTAGAGGGGTGGTCGTACTTTCCGCTGGGGAGGGGGTCGTATTTGGTCGTGGGAGAAGGGGAGGGTTGAATGTGGTTTGAGAGAAATTGCTGAAAAATTTTTCTGACACGGTTTTGAACTTTTTCGTGTATTTTGCTTGTTTCATGTGTTACTATGACCCCTCTCCATCTTCCCCCCCCCCCCGCCGAAACAAAATGTCAAAAGTTGAAAAATTCTCGGTAAGTTCCAGAAAAAGTGGACCCCCGCTCGAAGGAAAATGTTAGGGTGGAAAACTGGACTGAAAAATGTGGAAAATTGGTAGGTAGGCGTTGGGGAAGGGGGGAGGGTCGTACTGACACCCTCTCTCGGAGGGGTGGTCGTACCTACACCACCACTTCACACATCATGATGCTGTAACCTGGGTGGCAGTAGTCAAGATAGGCTGTACCCTTTCTCTACTTGCACGCGCTTCCCACGGTGTCACTAAAATCTCCACTTTGGGCAATATTTCGTCGAGAGGGCGCAGACAAGCAGGAATTGGGCGTGAACTGTCTTAACCGGCGTCTGGCTCCTTCTAGCTTTATTAGTGCCCAAAACTCTCCCTGTTCCTCACAGATAAACGATACTGATTCAGGTTACGGTCACAGTACACCGTTAACGGCTGGCGGAAAGCTGTTCTGCATGTTCTACGCGCTTGCTGGCATTCCCCTCGGACTCGTTATGTTTCAAAGTATTGGTAAGTTCTGATTTATCCTGTTTCCTTTCTGTTGGTTTCTTAACAAAAAATTGGATAAGAATTATTAATTAGCCTGTAGAAGACAAGTGCGAGGGCAGTTTATTCAAGTTTCATGTCATAATCGCTTCAAAAACCTGGGCGAGTAGATCAGAGGCGGCCGCGCGCGGTCGCGTCGCGCAAAACGAAGTGTTGGCAGAAGTGGGCGAATTGAATTAGAACCACAAACATAGTTCTTCTTTTAAAGTATCTGCCATTCGAAGAGACTCCTCGAACGAAAGAAATAAGAAGACAAGAGTAGTTATGAACCTCAGAATTCCTCATCCTTGCATTTTCAGGTGAACGTATGAACACTTTCGCTGCCAGTTTACTACGGGTCGCCAAGAAGGTGAGTTTTTTCAAACGGTTAGATCACAGTGGCTATCGGACAACTGGTCCATTGGACGTGTTTGCTACGTCTGAAGACAAGCTTTAGAAAGAGTGCCATCTTCACTTATTCTATTACGTCGGACAAGTGTGGTGCTACGTGGAAAACTTGTCCTTGTTTGCAGGCGTCAGGCCGTGCTCCAGTGGTGACACACATTGATTTGATATTCGTTGCCTCTGGTCTCGGCACATTTCTTATTGCTTTTGGCGCGTTAGCGTTCTCTAAATATGAGAACTGGACGTACTTTGATTCACTCTATTACTGTTTTACAACTTTAACTACCATCAGGTAGGTTAGGTCAACTGTTATGAAGTTTTTGTTATTTTTTTTCGTTTGAGAAGGAAAATGGGTGGCGAAGAAGGAAGAGGCGCTGTGGCGACTGCAGCAGAGTGTCTGGTGCAGCAGAGTGCTGGTTCATGAGCTGCCCACGCGACCGCATCGTAGGGGTACTTAAGATTGCATCTACCTTGACCCCTCGAACTAGCTTCTGTTTCCTGCAGTTACTTGATAGGACACACTGCAACCCTACGTTGTTATTCAGCTCCTAGCCAGCACAAGCCCCTTTACAAAGGCGTTTGGTCCGCAACGTGATTGTAACAGTCCACGCCCATACCGATTTCCTGGAATCGTTTGAGGGCGTGATTTGGCTTGAGGAGGAGAGGGGGGCATTTCCCACGTCCGCTACTTCCCGTCGCCCTGTCAAGCCATTAAGTAGAAATCTGTGAAATCTTCTGAAGCCATGAAGTAATTACCAGGCTGAACTTTGTGGGAACGCTCTGTCATTTTTTTCAAAGAACATGTGTCAACTTGTGAAAAGAAGAACACGACGATGGGTTAAACGAAACTGCAAAATGCCCCTTACCCCCCCCCATGCCAAACTGCGCTGTCCTGTGTAATTAACTAGATAGCCGATGAGTTTTACAGTTTCATCAGTCTATTTTTTGCCTCAGTTGTTGTCAAACATTTTGTTTATCTTGTAAACAATGATTGGTCAATAAATTAATTTGTTGCAGGATTCGGTGACTTCGTAGCCTTACAAAAAGGCGGTGCATTGCAGAATCAACCGGATTATGTGGTATTCTCGTTGGTTTTCATATTGTTCGGTTTGACGGTGATCTCAGCCGCTATGAATCTGCTGGTGTTGCGATTCCTTACGATGAACACTGAAGACGAACGACGGGACGAGCAGTACGTAGAGTTTATAGAATTTGAAATCCTTTCCTCCTATGAAGAAGGTGGGCGCAGGTGGTGTAGTGGCAAGTGGCCGCTTACCACGCGCCCGGTCCGGGGAATCAAATCCTGGATCGGGTCCCGCCCAGGGAAGAAGCCTTCTCTACCTTCCGCGGACGGTAAATTGGTACCATATTTGTTTGGGA